GGCCCCCGGGGCTCGGCAGTGTCCCCAGCCCCACCGCTCACCCAGCCCATCTTCCAGGGCCCCCTTCACCTGGCTTAGGGGGCGCTGAGGCCGGTGACCCCAGCCCCACCTCGAGGGTGTCCGGGCCTGGAGCCCAGACACATTGCCCAGTACCGTGGCGGGAGGGCGGATGTGTCATCCTCACGGCTCAATAAAGGATGCCCAGACCTGCGGTTGGAGCCCCAGGATGTGTTGTTGAGCAGGAAGGTCGTCTAGACTCAAGTGCTCCCCTCCGTGCATTGGGCTTAGAGGTTGTCCAGGCGGGGATCCCCCGCCACAATCAATAACGGTGTAGCCCAGGCGGTGCCCATCTCCTCCCTGCACCGTGGAAATGGAGATGGGCTCCACCACGTGACCCCAAAACGGCCCCCTCCCCACCAGACCAGCTGTTGTACCAGGCGGCCTCCCCCGACGAGGGGGCGCTGGTCACCGCGGCCCGGAACTTCGGCTACGTGTTCCTGTCCCGCACCCAGGACACCATCACCATCGTGGAGCTGGGGGAGGAGCGGGTCTACCAGGTCCTGGCCATAATGGACTTCAACAGCATGCGCAAACGGATGTCGGTGCTGGGTAAGCCCCCCGCCCAAGCCCTGGGCCCCCCCACCGGGCGGGTGGGCAGACGGGGAGCCTCTGTGGGCAGCAGGGCCTGTTCCCCCACAGTCCGAAAGCCAGAGGGCACCATCTGCCTGTACACCAAGGGCGCCGACACGGTCATCTTCCAACGCTTGCACAGGAGAGGGGCAACGGAATTTGCCACAGAGGCGGCCTTGGCTGTGAGTCCCTGCAGGGAGGAAGGCTGGTGTGTGTGTGTGTGTGTGTGTGTGTGTGTGTGTGTGTGTGTGTGTGTGTGTGTGTAGGGACAGGAGGAGGAGGCAGGGGAGGAGACTGTACAGAGAAATGAATGGCTGTGGGTACCTGGGATGGCTATGTACAGTTGGGTAGGTTGTGCACTGTACAAAACACCCTCCCCTGGCAACACACAACACACATACGCAGGTTGGAAGGCAGCTGAACTCCAAAGTGTCCCCCCACAGAGACAGTGTCTTTTTCTTTTCTTTTCTTTTCTTTTTTTTGAGACACAGTCTTGCTCTGTCGCCCAGGCTGGAGTACAGTGATGTGATCTCAGCTCACTGCAACCTCTGCCTCCTGGGTTCAAGCAATTCTCCTGCCTCAGCCTCTCAAGTAGCTGGGACTACAGGCGCTCACCACCACGCCTGGCTAATCTTTGTATTTTTAGTAGAGACAGGGTTTTACCATGTTGGCCAACCTGGTCTGGAACTCCTGGCCTCCAATAATCCGCCTGCCTCAGCATCCCAAAGTGCTGGGATGACAGGTGTGAGCCACCACGCCCGGACTCAGACCAGTTTTCTGAGCCCCTTCAAGGCTGCTGTTGGCAGGGGAGGCAACAGGCTTTTGGTTGGGGGGCCCAGGCTCCGGAGCCCAGCGGGGGGTTGGGGAGGGCTGAGACTCAGATGTCGGCTTCAGGATGGTGACAGCTTCCATCTGCCCGGCCCCCAGGCCTTTGCCCAGGAGACCCTGCGGACACTGTGCCTGGCCTACAGGGAGGTGGCTGAGGACATTTACGAGGACTGGCGGCAGCGCCACCAGGAGGCCAGCCTCCTGCTGCAGAACCGGGCGCAGGCCCTGCAACAGGTGTACAACGAGTTGGAGCAGAACCTCAAGGTGGGTGGGCAGCAGGGCTTCCAAGGGGGCCCTGGGACTCTCCTGCCCCTGCCAGGGAGCTGGGCGGCTGCTCAGCATTTTCCCCGTCCTGCCCTCCTCCCCCACCAGCTGCTGGGAGCCACAGCCATCGAGGACAGACTTCAGGACAGCGTTCCTGAAACCATCAAATGTCTCAAGAAGAGCAACATCAAAATATGGGTGCTCACTGGGGACAAGCAGGGTGAGTCCTGGGCGGCTCCAGGTGGCTGAGCCCCCGTAGCATGGATCTTCAAATTTCCCCGAAGTTTGAAGGCTCACGCCTGTCATCCCAGCACTTTGGGAGGCTGAGGCGGGTAGATCACTTGAGGTCAGAAGTTTGAGACCAGCAGAGCCAACATGGTCAAACCCCGTCTCTACTCAAAATACAAAAATGGGCCTGGCCGGGTGTGGTGGTGCGCGTTGGTCATCTCAGCTACCCAGGAGGCTGAGGCAAGAGAATCGCTTGAACCTGGGAGGCGGAGGTTGCAGTGAACCAAGGTCGTGCCACTGCAGTCCAGCCTGGGAGACAGAGTGAGACTGTCTCAAAACAAAACAAAACAAAACAAACAAACAAAAAAGGCTGCAACTCTCAGAGGGGCGCGGTGGCGCATGCCTGTGGTCTCAGTTTCTCCAGAGGCTGAGGCAGGAGGCTCGCTTGTGCCCAGGAGGTTGAGGCTGCAGTGAGCCATGATCGCGCCACTGCCCTCCAGCCTGGGTGACAGAGTGAGCCCTTGTCAAAAAAAATGATTTTCAGGGTGCCCTCTGTTGGCCAGGAGCCAGCCCAGGGAAAAATATTCAATTATTTCCCTTCTGATTTAAAAAGATACTAAGGTCGGGCCGGGCGCGGTGGCTGAAGCCTGTAATCCCAGCACTTTGGGAGGCCGAGACGGGCGGATCACGAAGTCAGGAGATCGAGACTATCCTGGCTAACAAGATGAAACCCCGTCTCTACTAAAAATTACAAAAAAAGTTAGCCAGGCATAGTGGCCGGTGCCTGTAGTCCCAGCTACTCAGGAGGCTGAGGCAGGAGAATGGCGTGAACCCGGGAGGCAGAGCTTGCAGTGAGCCGAGATCGCGCCACTGCACTCCAGCCTGGGCGACTGAGCCAGACTCTGTCTCAAAAAAAAAAAAAAAAAGGTATTAAGACATTTTGTGGGTTCCTGAAGGCACCGTGGATCCTAGGCACATGTGCCTGATGATTCTGGCTTCAGACACGTCTCTGGGCAGCCCAGTTCCAGCCAGAACTGCAGTCAAAATCTCAGGGCTGGCTCTCATTGGCGAGCCTGGGTTACAAGCCCTTCTCTGAACCAATCACCATGGCCAGGCGGTGGGGCATGCGGCTGCCACTGGTCGGGCCAGGGTCCACCGGGTAGAGTGGGCGTGGCCCCCAGGCCGTCAGTGCAGGGCGGGTCGCAGAGGCGCTGAGCAGGTCTGGTTCTGGTTCGCAGAGACCGCTGTTAACGTCGGCTTCGCCTGCGAGCTGCTGTCAGAGAATATGCTCATTCTGGAGGAGAAGGAGATTACGTAAGAAGTGTGGGGTTGGGGGGGTGAGCAAGGGGAGTGGGGAGGTGAGGACAAGGGGCATCTGGCCCAGGTGCTTGTCTCATTGGACGGAGAGCCCGAGGCACAATGGGAAGCGGAGATTGAGAGGGGAGAGAAGGGTAGGAGGAAGGAGTGGGGGAGTGGGCAGTGGAGGGAGCCTTAAGGGAAGGGGAAGGGGCAGGGGAGGGAGAGGGGGAGAGGCAGAGGAGGGGGAGGAGCAGAGGAGAGAGAGGGGAGGGGAGAGAGAGGGAAGGTGAGGGAGAGGGGTAGGGGCAGAGGTGAGGAAGTGGGCAGT